AGGTGGCAAGGAGGAACCCTGGCTAAGCAGCCTGCCACCCCGCTGCCGCAAGTGCGGATTGACGCAGGTGCCAGATGCTACGCTGTCAGCTCACCTTTGCTTCGCCAAAGACTATGTAGGTATCTGACGCTGGGCTCTTGTACACGTCTGGCTTTGTGATGACGAAGAGGATGTTCTTAGATTTCCGGATGGTGACTCTGGTTACTCCTGTCACCTGGCGAAGGCCCAGTTTAGACATTGCCTGAAGAAAATGAGAGAAAGGTAAGCAAGGGAAAGAAGAGTTACTGAGACAGCCCAGCCCGTGAAAAGATGCATCCATTCATCTGCTCTCCAGAGACCTGGGTCCAACGATCAGCGCCCTCGCGCAAAGGAAAATGTGCATTTTACTGCTGCAGAGCAGCATTCCCGGGCTTTCAGCCCGACACTGCGCTGGGAGCCTGGGAGGGAACGCTCCAGTCCCCTGGCGAGATCCACAGCACAACCTCGCGCCCCTCCAGACACGAGGATTTTGCCCGTGAAGGGGGCATCCCCCTGCCCGGGGGCTCGACAAGGGCGGGAAGTTGCACAGACCCCTCTCAGCTCCCGAATGGCTGGCTGGTACCGTACAGGGGCAGGAGGTGAGGAGCTGTGGCCCTGAACAGGGTTCGTGGGGCGAAGACCCCAGCACTCGGGGACGCCGTGCCAGACCCTGAGCTTTGCTGTCCACGGGCAGCCCGTTCACTGCATACAGCTTTGGTCCATCCACCATCCCACCTCACCTTCCGTGCTTTCTTTTCGCTCCGGCTCTGTTTTGCTTTGCTAACGGGTTCTTCATCTATTTCAGCTGCTGCTGCAAGCTGCAAGGAGAGAAAACAAAAGGGATCCATGACAATCCTGAGGCGGCGGTGGACAGCACCAACGGGGATCCTGCTCCGCTGCTGCTGGGCTGAGGGACGCAGTGGCGCGTGCTGCCTGCCCTACCTGTGCCTGCTGCGTCGTGGCCTGTGTGGAGTCTTGCTCTTCGAGCTCTGGTACAGATTCATCACTGTCAGACTCTGTTCCGGACCCTAC